GACTGCAATGCCACACATCTCTCCTCTCCAGCTTGGAATGTTTAATAAAATATTAAATATTTTAATTTTAATACTAAACCTTGAGAGCTTGTTTGGAGGTTCTAGCAGGGGAGTACACCAACTCGTAAACCCTCGACCGGAGACCGATGTCCATCTCTATTCGGGGAAGGCCGTCCTCTTCAACTGAGCATGCAGCTTCGGGAAGAAGGGGACTCACCTAGCCAGCCAGATCAGGCAAATCAACCCTACCGATCAATGGGGTGACAGATGTCGCAGCCAGATCGGCCTCACTAAACTGGGCTGGAGCGATAGCACAGCGGTAGGGCGTTTGCCTTGCAAGCTGTTGGCCCAGCCAAGCCAGTTTTGATTCCTCCACCCTTCGCGGAGAGCCCGGCAAGCCTGGCAAGCTCCCTGTGACATATTCCATATGCCAAACACAGTAACAACAAGTCTCACAACGGAGACGTTCCTTGGTGCCCGCTCAAGCAAACTAATGAACAACGGGAGGACAGTGCTACAGTGCTAATACTAAACCTATAAATAATAATTAACTAAACATTTAGTAAATTATTTACTAGTTATTAATATTAACTATTAATGACAGAATAGTAATTATACTATAAATAATTGTCAATACATCAAATTAGTAATTGATTAAATAATGGCATTAATTTAATAAAAATCAAATTAAAATGAGACAAAAATACCATGTTGAACACATGTTTAAAGTAGTAAGTCAACGAGTGAATGACAGATTTTTGAACTTGAAAGCTGTATGAACAAGTGCTTAACTTGCACAGATTTTGCTTGGTCAAGTGAAAAGGCACACTTCAAATGAATCTTCAACTTATTTTCTTCTATATCTGACAGTAGCTTCCAAGAGTTGAATTATGCCTCTAGTGTGATGTACTGAATTTAACAATTCAATTGTTGAACTGGAGTAACAGTACAGCAGGTAGAATTTGCCTTGCATCTGGCCAACCCAGGTTCAATCCCCGCATCCCAGATGGTCTCCTGAGCACCTCTAGGAATAATTCCTGAGTGCAGAGTCAGGAGTAACCTCCGAGAATCTCCAGGTGTGATCCAAAAAGTTCCCCCCTCCCAAGAAAAAACCCAACCCAGTTCTTTAAGTTTGAACGTTTTCCCCCACCCCTGCCCCATCTATGTCACTGAAATGATCTAGAGGTATTATGCCCTATAAGAATCCATTCCTAGAGTGTGTGAATATGTGAGTGGATGTTCCCCTATACTTTGGTTACAAGCTAACAGGGCAACACTTCTTGCTTTCTAAGAAGTGATCTGAAGTGGGTTCTTTCCCCACAGAGTATTTCAAGGCAGAAGATGCTCTTAATCTAATCTTTCCCAATACATGTGCTCCTTCTGCCTTCATTCCTCGTATTCTGTCAGAAACTGGCAGTTAATAGCACTCAATGTCATTTATCTTACTGTTTTCAGGGCTCCACAAGGAGATGTGAAGTATGGTACTGAACACCTCACAAAAGATCTTTGTTTCTTCCCACAGAAATCTATCGAGGTGTTTTTTTTTTTCTCATGAGCTGAAGTAGACCCCAAGGAAATGAAGCTTGGTGTTTTACCACGGAGCCAAAAATGTGTATTTAAACTGAGCTTCCACATTGGAGAATGTATTCATTATTCTGTCACCCTCATCCTATTCATTATGAAAACTCATAATCCCATTCATAATGAAAATAAAATGCTCCTTTTATAGATAAGCAGGAGATTCTAGCACCAAGTGGCAACTTTTGATAGATCCATTTTCCAGGTCGCAGCCTGCTGGAGGGACTAAGTTGGTCACTGTCTCTGCAGACCCTTTTTTTGGTGATCTTTCGTAGTACTAGAATGTAAGCCTTAGGAAGAAAGAGGTAAGAATTGGTGTCCAAGTTCAACAGACCAGCCTCCTTAATTACAACATGAGAACGGTGTAGAAAGGGCGATATAGTGACAGAGCAAGGTCCCTAGCCCTGGACCTGGAATGAAGGCACTTCTTCCTTTAACCACGCACTGTGGCTTGATCTGCTCCGACTATAGCACTCAGTCCCCTGCAATCAGATTGCTGTTTCCCTGTCTCACCTCCAACTCACACTTTCCCCAAGTGGATGATACTGCTCCAGTCATCAGGGGAGGGAGCATTGGAACCCTGGAGGAGCATGTGTAGAATGGTGCAACTAGGGGTCACTCAAATCACAATTGAGTGATTTACTTGAGAAGGGGGTGCTAGGCCAAATAAACCTGGAACCACTGCTCTAATTCAACAGCAGTTGGATAATTTCTTGAGGAAAATTTCAGAGGCTCTAATAAATGCCCTAAGCCTAGGACAGTGTTTTTTTTATTTTATTTTATTTTTATTTTTTGACTGTTAGTCAATAAAGATAAACAGAATATGGGAAGGAAGAGCAGATAACATGGGTGCCTTGACAGAGCAGACCTGAGTTTGGTGCTAGGCATCCCCTGAGCCTGGCATGAAGTGATCCCTGTACACAGAGCCAGGAGTGAGCTCTAGGCATAGATGGTTGTGGCCCTCTCTGAAATGAACAAGGTAAGGTAAGGTAAAGGCCCTCCCGTTGATCATCGATTTGCTCGAGCGGGCCCAGTAACGTCTCCATTGGAGACTTTGTTGTTACTGTGTCTGGCATATCGAAAAGAAAAACCCTGGAGCTGTCCTTTGTATATTCCAGCCTTGCTAAATTTATTTATTTTTATTTACTCAAGATTACTAGCTTTTTGATTGGGACTGGGGCCTCCTCCACCCAGATCCCCCACCTTGCAGTATGTAGGCGTTACACCCACCAACTGCCCCTGGTGCCATGTAATCCCATCAATGACCAAGACCCAGAGACTATAAAACCCAGCTCCTGGGTCATCTTATTATCTAGTTCTTACTCTGGAGAACCTGGCAGGCTACCAAAAGTATCCTGCCCACACGGCAGTCTGGCAAACTCCCCGTGGGATATTCAATATGCCAAAAATTAGTAACAATGATGGGTCTCATTCCCCTGACGCTGAAAGAGCCTCGAATGTGGCACTTTTTAAAATCTCAGGGTTAGGACGAGGGAGACGTTACTGGGGCCTGCTCGAGGCAATCGATGAAAAACAGGATGACAGTGATACAGTGATACTAGCTTTTGATCTCTGATCTACTCTAACAGTAATAAGGATAGAGCACATAGACAGCCTCCATCCCTCCCCAAAATGTTAATAATCACACAACTCACCCACCTTGATAAGTACAACTTGTGTTTGTTTTCCCACAGACTTCCGATTCCATGAGATAAAGAACTCACCCTTGTCCATAGCTGACATTTTAGCGGCTGCCACAATATCTAGCTCATATTAATAATGTTCTATTCTTCAAAAGTAAACATGCTTTCTTTTTATTATCTAGCATGATTTGGGATGAGAAAAACATTTCGGTTTTTTCCATGTCCTGGGATATTTTCAGAACACTATCAAGAACTACCACATATCATGTTAAGCACCTACTTTATAACACCCTGCTTGCTCTGTTATAGTATTAAAGTTATTTAATGAAAAATTATAGCATTGCCACTGTTAGAAGAGATAGGAGTTTCTATTTGGATAAATGACTTTCAGAGTGGCAGGACCAATACTCAGTCCACCTTTTTTCATTGCAAAGACTAGGGCAGAGCTGAGAAAAAAGTCTCTTCTATTAAAAAAAATAACTGAAATACTAAGGTGACTGTAGATAAGATACTTTACGGTAAGAAAACAAAGAAAAAGCCTTTAATTATCAAGCAGAGATTATCAAAAATCATAAGTAATTATATTCACTCAGGTCCTCAAATAAATTAGAATAATTAAGTTACCATTAGGAAATCTAAAATCTAAGAAATAGTTTAAAGATAACCACAAAAAGTTATTATTGAAACTTGTGAAGCCTTAATTAATTGAGCATAATTAAAATATTGGGGGGAGGGACAAGCTTTAGAATCCAAATTTTATTTAAACTGTGTCCTATGACCATATTTTATTCATTCACAGAAAGCAATTTGCATAACTAAAATCTTATCTTATTTCTTGAAATAACTTCAGAAGTTTTCAGTTTTGGGGATCAGGCTCTCAGTTCCTTTTCTGGATCTAAGTATGCATTTATAAAGGAGTTACAACACTAAGAAATACGATACCCACCTACTTTTAATCCAGAGATGTAATCAGTAAAGTGATTACATTTATGCAGGTTTTAACTGTGGAAGTATTAGATCGATTTGCAGAAGAAATTGCCTTTTTGGCATTTGATGTTTAATGATTACAGCTACAAATTTAACCAAGAGTTATTGAATTATGACAATCAGGCCTAAATGATCTGGGATAATAGTTAACATTTATTAAGCATGTTTTAGTGCCAGGAACTGCGATTAAGCACTTTTCATGGATTTAATATATCTCTTGCCACAGACCTATGAGGTGATTAAAACCAACTAGTAGGATGAAGAGGTTTTTTGGCGGGTTTGAGGGTCACACCCAGTGGTGATCAAGGTTTATTCTTGCTCTGTGCTCATGGATCATTCCAGGCAGGCTGGGGATCCATATGGGGGATAAGGGATAGAACCTGGGTTGACCACTTGTAACGCAAGTGCTCTAGCTACTGTACTATTGCTCAGGCCCTAGAGAGGTATTCTTTTAACCCAAAGATTTTCCCCAAGATGTATATGTTAGCCATTATTCCACACCATTCTCATTAGAACCATTCATTATTTTGCAAATGAAGAAACAGAGGCCACAAGGTATGACAAGCTAAAGGTCACAATTAGAGTTTACAATGCTCCACTCAACCATTCCTAATTTGATGCACTCTCCTTCCAACTCTCTCTATCTCCCTCTCTCCTCTCTCTCTCTCTTTCTACCCACCCTTCCTCCCTTTATCTCCTCGCTCTCTTACTGGAGGCTTACTGCAGTTTCATGCTCTCATCAAAAGTCATTTGCTCCCTTCTCCATACCTCGAGTGATCTAATGACACTTACCAGTACTAGACTGAACAATTCCAGAGTCCACTGTTTGTCCAAGAAGATCATACTGGTTTAGGCGTGATCCATCTTCTGCTACTACCACGGAGCGAGCTGGCTCTCTGGTCCACTCATAAACAACCTCTGCTCTTGTATAGGCATCTAAAAACAAAGAGTGGCCCATAGGCATTGTGTCACCTTCATATTTTCTACTGGGTGATTTCAGAGGGCAGGTTGGCAAAGAACAGCCCCTTAGTTTAGTAAAACTAAAACTAAAATTCCTGATTCACTCAGTTTTCAACTCATTCTTACAGAAAATAAAGGTCTTAAAAGTCAGGGAACCTTTCTGTGGAGAGAATATTGTAATGAACTGATCAAATAAGATTTCCTGATCCCGGGGCTGGAGAGATAGTACAGTGGGTGGGGCACTTGCCTTAGTGAAGTAACCTCTGAGCATCTCTGAGTGTGACCCCGGAGATGGATGAAACCCCGGAGATGTTTTGTGAAACAAAACAAAAACGAAAAGGATTTCCTGTAAAACAGGTATTGTGATAGAAGGAACAAAACACAGCTAAGTAAATAACTACCTAATTTCAAATAGTTTCAAGTGTGGTAAAGCCAGACACACCAGCAATCAGGTCAAAAATGAAGGGCGTGGCTCTCCTTCAAGGGAGGAACTTAAAGGGTCAGCAAAGAAGTGACAGAAATACAGAAGTATGACAAATGAGAGAGTTTTCTGGATGATTTCTTTTCATAAGGCTGGCAAACGGCTGAGCTCTTTGAGGGCAAATAGCACACCAATATTGCTACGATGATGAGCACGTGAGATGAAATTTGATAGAAAATAGTCACCTAAGTCTAGATTACGAAGGCTCAGCAGGTCAATAAAATTCTATAAAAAGACTTTTCTTCGGGGCTGGAGAGATAGCACAGTGGGTAGGGCATTTGCCTTGCACACGGCCAACCCGGGTTCGATTCCCATCATTCCATATGGTCTCCTGAGCACTGCCAGGAGTAATTCCTGAGTGCAGAGCCAGGAGGAACCCCTGTGTATTGCCGGGTGTGACCCAAAAAGAAAAAAAAAAGAATTTTCTTCAGTTTTCAGTCTTAGAAATGTCTGATTTCACTTCCTTTTATTTAATTTTTAGGGAATTTTTAGGGGGCACACCTGGCTATGCTCAGGGCTTACTCCCAGCTTTGTGCTCACTCCTGGGTGTGCTCGGGAACTGAACTCAGATCATTTGTGTGAAGGGCAAGCGTCTTACTCCACTGTACTATCTCTCCAGTCTCAATAATTTTTTTAGTATTTTTTAATTTGTTTTTGGGTCACACCCAGTGGTGCTCAGGACTTGTTCCTGGCTCTGTGTTATAGATCACTCCTGGTAGAGCTCAAAATGCCAGGGATTGAACTCAGATTGGCCATGTGCAAGAAAAGTGCCCTACCTGCTCTGCCCCTCTTTTAAGCATTTCTAATAAAATTGTTTACTCTGCTGGCGGAGAGAAGATAGAAGGGGAGAAGGAGAAAGAAAAGTTAGGTCAAATAAACCGTTGTACTTCTCAGTTAATTTTACTTTGCCATGTGAATTTTCAATCTAGCTATTCTGCCATAGAATAGATTAGATCATATTCATCCTTCTCTTTTAATCATGGAGAACATTGGAAGAGGAGGAGGTGTATGGAGAAGGAGAAGAGGCATTCCATGCATGTCATCAGACATGTAAATATGAAAAGAGTAAATATAAAAATCATATGATCATACCAATTGATGCAGAGAAAGTTTTCAACCAGCTTCTGCAGCCATTCATGATAAAAGCCCTCAACAAAATAAGGGTGGTAGGAACCATCCTTAAGAGAGGAAGGTCGCCTATAATAAGCCCATAGCCAGTATCATTCTTAATGGTGAAAAACTGAAAGCATTCCTTCTGAGATTGGGCATCATTCCAGCTCTACCTCCACTTGTATTCAACATAGGATTGGAAATCCTAGCAACAGCAATCAGGCAAAATAAAGAAACCAAAGCAATCCAAATTGGGAAGAAGTCAAACTATCACTACTTGCAGATGACGTGTAAATATATATAGAATTCCTTTTTTTTTTTAAAGAGTGCACCCAAAACTGCTCCTGGAAACAATAAAACCCATTCAACAAAGTGACAGGGTACAAATTCAACACAGAGAAATCTGGAGCATTGCTATCTGCAATAATGAACTAGAAGAGAAAGAGATCAAAGATTTACTTCATTCAAAATAGGGCCCCATAACATCAAGTACCTAAGGATCAAACTTAACAAGAGACCTGAGAGAGCTGGTATACCTTGAAAATTATCAGTAACTTTTAAGAGATAGAAGACATTAGAAAATGGAAAAAAATATTCCATGCTCATGGAAGGGAAGAATAGTGTCAAATGATCATCCTACCTTAATTATTATATAGATTTGATACAATCACCATCCAAATTTTGATGACATTCTTTAAATGTCTTAGAACTGTCAGAGCTAGGACTGATTCCTGGGCATTTCTAAGTATGGCCAAAAAAATTAATTAAATTAAAATTAAAAAACCTTGATCATTGTAACTTTTCCTCATTCAACAAATACATTATATTAGGTCTTGTGCTAGGAAATGCTGAGCAAAATAGATTCTGTTGTCCTGTTTCATGGTGATTCCAATCTTCAGATAATGCAAATGTTAATAAATAATCCAAAGCAGTATTTATTGCTGTGATAAGTGGTATAAAATAAGTAATGCATTTTGAGCAAGAAGACTGGTGTACCTAGATGTAAATGTAGATAAGGTCATCAAGGGAGTAGCTAAAAGATAACATTTGTGCTGAGATGAAGAGAGATCAAAGAAGCCAGCCATGTTACAAACCAAGGGAAGGGCAATGCAAGCAAAGACAAGAACACATATAAATGCTTGGAGGTGGAAAGCAGTGGCTCATTTATTTTTCGCTACCTCAGTTTTATTCTGTGAAACATCATTTTCTCTTCATCATCTAATTCTCTCTTCCTCAAATGCCTACAGTTTTCTTCTGGCTTACAATGTGGATAGCCTTTGTGGTTTGCATTGGCAAGTTCATATAGCTTTGATTAATGATCTGTGAGTAGATGTCTGTTAGGATTTAGGGATTTAAAAAAAAATAAAGGCGGGGCCGGAGTGATAGCATAGCGGGTAGGGTGTTTGCCTTGCATGCGGCCGGACTTGGTTCGATCCCCGGCATCCCATATGGTCCCCCAAGCACCGCCAGGAGTAATTCCTGAGTGCAGAACCAGGAGTAACCCCTGAGCATCGCTGGGTGTGACCCCCAAAAAGAAAAAAAAGGCTTTGCTTTCTTCCCCCAATATTTTTCTTTATCTTGAGGCAGATAATGATGGAAGTTGTATTATATGAAGAGGAAGACGATGTAAGGGCATCTTAAGAAATCATCTTTGTTGAGATGCAGAACTAATCAGCACTCCCCCAACACTGACTTATCTTTCTACTTTTCATATGAAAATACAAACTTTCCTTTTTATTTTTTTATTTTTTAAATGTAGGAGTACTGTTATTTATTCAGCCATTGATTAAGCTGATTGAATTGGGCATGAACTCCACAAACCTTCCTTTTTAAAAGATACTATCACTACTTAAACATTCTCATGAAAGATACACTTAATCATTTAATTCAGTGTCCAAATAAGACCACTTTTAAGGCAAAAGGGGTTGTGCATAGTAGTAGCTGGACATTAGCATAAATCAGTCCTGTTCCGGGCTACAATCCTTGCTCTTTCTGACTGTGAGGTTACTTTGTGGGTCAGCTGAGGTGATGCATATCCCAGTGTTTTATATATCACCAGGCAAACAAGATACACATAATGTACTATTAGAATAGAATTGATAACCAGAAGTAAATGTATCAATCCAGCACATAGAATATACATCACTCAGAGAAAAGACGAGGAGGAAGGAATTATCACCAGTCTTGTTTAGCTGACAGTCTTATTTAGCTTTGAAGTATTTTATCCTTGGGTTCCAATAGAGTGAGATTTATAAATAAGAAAAGTTGTCTCTCTGCGATTTCTGATGCTAGGAGCCTAAAGCCCTTTGCTATTTTCCTTGCTTGTGATCTTCCTACACTACCACTATTTTTCCTCTATGAATCATATCTTCACCAAAATAGTTGCTCAGACTGCTTGTCTAGGGGGAACAGAAAGCTTGTTAGATGGGCCAGGAGTTGACTCAGTGCTCACACGTAAGTTCCCTGCAGGAAACCAGGAATAACAGTTCCCAGTCACTTCCAGCATGCGTGCTCATGGGAAACAGAAGGGGAATGGGGAGCGCCCCCAGAGATCCTGATGCTGGGGCCCTTTGTTCTCTCTGTCCTCTAAAAACGCACTGCATCTTTGCAAAGGTTGAAGCAAAGGAGATTACAGAAGGGATTTATCTATGATATCTCCAAACTGTCAATATGCACACAAATTCTGTGAGCAATCCAAATGCATCTAGAACGTTTCCAACTCTGTGGTTAACATAAATTCTTTCTGGATATGTCTTTTAGATGTTGCCTTTACTGTATAAGAAATGCCTAATTATTGTCCTGGGCCACCTGTCCACTACTTCCAGCTAATAGAGAAGTTGAATTAGTTTTAAGGCCAGACAGGTTTTTGTTATTAATTAAAACAACTATGATGATTTGCATTTATTGGAAGGAAGAGTATCTGTATTCCAGTTGGTTTTCTCTGAATACTATTGCGTACAAATAGCCTTTTCCTACTAAACAGTTAAATGAACGCTTTCTAGGCCACCAGAAAAAGAGTATTATTCATTATGAAAAGCAATTGCAGGAGCTGGAGCGATAGCACAGCGGTAGGGTGTTTGCCTTACATATGGCCGACCTGGGTTCAATTCCCAGCATCCCCTATGGTCCCCTGAGCACTGCCAGGAGTAGCTCCTGAGTGCAGAGCCAGAAGTAACCCCTGTGCATCGCTAGGTGTGACCCCCCCCAAAAAAAAGAAAAACAAAGCAATTGCAGTCAATATCTATTTTAAATTTGTTCTTTGTCATTGCTCCAACAGACATAACTAATTGGCGATCTCCAGCTTAAAATTTTAAGAGTTCTCTAATGAAAATAAAACAAATATACTCACAGCTTCCAAACTTCAGTGGACAGGCATGGGCATCCATAGGAAAGTCTTCCAAATGCATTGGGCATTCAGCTCTCACTGTCAGTCTTATCAGTGGAAACAGAGGAAACAAACAAGACCCCGACAGATTAGATTACCTCAGTTGTTATTAATGTCAAACTATATTCACAAAGCTTGTAGACAGACACACTGCAGCATTAGCCTTAGCTGTTGAAAATCAAACAATAATTACAATCATTGAATCCTATCCATCTTTTAATTATAGAAAAGTAAATGCCACTCAAATTTTGGATGGTATAATGGGTAAGAAGAGATTGGACAGTTCTTGGTTGGGGAGTCCCTACCTCGTGGTGGAGGGCAAGGAGCATCCTTACCTCATGGTGTACAGCAAGGTCCCATCCTCTGTGATCCGCAGGAGTTTGTTGGGCATAGTCATGTTGTGAGCCACAGACTTCTTTCCATTGTGGAAAAAGGTGTCCGGAGTCCAGATTTTACTTGCCATTAGGTTATTCAAACGTAGAACTGTCATGGGTCCTTTAAACTTTAACCTTTCGTCCTTCCAGCTTTGACGGAAAAATACATCTATTGTGTATTCCTAGATAATTTTGAAAGATGGCAGAGTTCACTCGTATTGTATTTTACAATGCAAATACCTTCCACAAAAAAATGCATATATATTGTTTTGCAACTGTAAATGCAAAATATGGACCAGGTGATGTTTCAGAAATAAACTCATAGTAGCCAGTACACATAGGTACCAGGTGAATGAACACCTGATACAATCATTAAAAATATGAACCCCCTGAAATATTTCTTGGTCAGAAATGTTCTGCAATTATCTCTGGAGATCACTGAAGGAAAATCTCACCGTAATCTCAACCCTGTTCCACCACACCAGAATTTTAAGAGATGGAGTACGTTAAAATAAAGGCATAAGTCAGGTTACAAGGTTTTTCATGTAGGAAAATATTCAAACTAGATCCTTGCATTATAAAGACAAAAATGTTGTGTTTTGAAGGGCCCTCTCATGGACTCTGCAATTGATCATCTGTCTTCTGGTAAAGCATCTCATGATTCTTAAGTGGGTGATAAAATCCCATCTTTTTGCCTAAATATTTTTTCACAGTATCTGAACTTTTAACTATTTGAAAAGTAGAATATGAATATAAGAAATCAATTTCACTAGCAATTTGGATCTGTTAGAGAATGCAAGTGTGTGTTTGTTAGTATGTATGTGTAAAGGACACATGAGGAATGTGTGAAGCTCATCATCATTCACAGCCAGGGAATCTATTTATTTGAATAAACACAGTATCCCTTATGGCAATACCCAAAGACAAACATCTGCTAATCTGAAAGCAAGCAATGCAGCCTACCAGCTCCTAAAATTGAAAGGGTAATATCCATCTTCCTTGCAGTGCTGGCTAGACTCACACTAAATTTAGAACCCAGTGGTTTGAAATAAATATGACCACTTTCTACATTAACTTTAAGTCTTCTCCAAACTGGAAGGGAGACTAACTTAAAAACACCATGCCCCATTTTACTCCTTAACCCTAATGCCTATTGCAGCAGAAAACTAGTATTTTAAAATCCTAATGCATATTGCCTTTAAGACATGCAAATTAAGTAATGTTTAACTCTAAGCATTTTGTACATGAGTTTCCCCATTTCCCAAGGATTCAGATTCTGGAAAGACTGCATGAATGTTCTCTTATCCATCCTGGCATGTCCCTGCATGCATGTGACCTTGCACTACATACCAAACAGCTAACAATTTCTATCAGATAGATCATTTAAGAGATATATTATTAAATAATCTTGGATTCACGGTCTCGGTCATGGTCCTCCCGTTATTCATTGACTTGCTAGAGCCGGCCCAGTAACATCTCCATCGTGAGACTTGTTGTTACTGTTTATGGCATATTGAATACGTCATGGGTAGCTTGTCAGGCTTTGGATAAATTATTTAGATGCTTAATAGATATTAAGCATCAGAAATACTGCTAGCAAAACTGAGATAGAAATAAGGAGTCTTAACTTGATCAGTGTCTCTTCCTTGGAGTTAAGTTACCTTGCTTGTTGGTCAGTTTTTACCTGTGTCTGCCAGATTCAGATGAAAGGCATTAGGCTCTGGCTATGTCATTCAGGAATTCACTCACTAAGAAACATTTGCTAATAATCTGTTGAATTCAGCAGAGGGAGAAACTGTTTAGAATTGGATGCTCAATGAAAAACTCACAGAGGAGCGGAGTGGGCATAGAACGGTATATTTTGCATGAAGAGAGAAAGCAGGGTGGGTGCCTGTGAATAGGATCAGGAAGTAATGAATACAGATTTTTGTTCTCTCGCATTCCATATGGTCCCCTTAGTAAGTTTGGTGTAGCTTACAAACCATAATAATAATAATAGCAATAATAATAATTCAGAGTAGCTTGCCATGGAAGCAAAGTAGATGGATTTGCTCTGGGGTGTGACACTTCTCATCACAGCAGACAGAAGAATAAGATAGGGATACTGTTTTTGTTCCTTAGCAGTCAGCCACTTAAATCTCTATTCAGCTGAACTACCGTAGCTTGGTCAACTCTAAAGTTAATGACCACTCCCAGATCAAGGTTCCCAAAATGTCTAAACGGATATGCTCCCACAAATCTAAAAATGCTGTTTGTAATTTTTTTTTGCTTGCTCCAAGGACCTACTTGTAGAGCATAACCTTGTCCCCAAGGTCATAGTCCATTATACCAAGTGGGCTGAATCCCTTCCTCAGGAAGCTGGAGGAAGACAGGAGAGGAAAGAACTGTTGCGTGATGGCTATTAGTAAGAAGTGCTGAATGACCGTAGGTGGCTCTCTTCCTTTTCTAAGCCCCAATTTCCTATTTTATGAAGTCTCCACTGTTAGGAGAACAGCCTTTCCCTCCCTCCCTCCCTCCCTCCCTCCCTCCCTCCCTTCCTTCCTTCCTTCCTTCCTCTCTTTCGAGAAAGGAATTAAAACAAGTGAACAGCTTGTAAGAATGTAACATAATAAGTTCTTGGGAAGTGTAAGAAATGATTATTTACTTTCCATTCATGTTATTGTAAATTTATGGTAGGTTTCTATGTGACTGGGAATCCCCAAAGGCTATGCCTTCGGAAAGCAGACCTTTGGCCAATGAGAAACTTTTCATAACTCAGGAAGACAGAAACAAGTCACCAGGGGGGACCCTCCAAAAGACTCTTCTCAAGCAATAGGAAGCACTGAAATAATTTGTTCAAGGGGCAGCCTGGGGTCCAGTGTTCAAGAGACAAGACGAAAGTCTCTCCGAGTCAGCCTGTCAGTAGCGTAGGTCCTTGGAGAAAGTCAGCTTTATTCTGAATACGGGACAAAACATCCGTTCTGGTTCTAAATAAATATTGTATTGAAGTGTTCCCACTGCACCATTGATTACCATCTGTGTGTGCTTTGACTTAATACATTTTAAGCACTACGGAAAACAGCGCTCAATGATTGAGCTGCCTGGATATTTCTGTCAGAACCCAGTGCCCTGGGAATGTGCTGTTGGATTGCCAATTAACGGTTTTTAAAATAAAGTTAAGGAGTTGTCCTAATTTTGTTTTCTATTCCAGATGAAGTCAGATGCTTTGGGAGTTACAGTCTCTCGGGATGGACAGCCCGTGTTCAAGTTGCTACACTTAGCAAGCTGGGTCACTTTCCTTCTAGAGATCATGCAGATAATAAAAATACTTAGCTGAAATGTTTGACAGAGGGATTAGAGGACCTAAGATCTATGAAACCCTTAGCATGGTTCTTAACGCATAAAAACAAGCATTCAACAATTCTCTCATACTCTTATTTCGGGAGGCAGAAACAGAGGAGTGATTTCATTTGATGGATAAAGTTAGAAGCAGAGATCAGTCTTGCCTATCTCACCCTTTTCCTCTTTTTTCATTTTCAGCATTTTCTGATCATTAAGGGGCACATTCTCCTGTATTTTTCCATCTTAGAAATTTTAAATGGATAGTCTAAATCCAAGCACAGAGACTAACACTCCATGTCGACTGGGTGGATTAATCTTGATGTTTACACTCTGAACACTTAGTGGGGACGTAAGCCATCATCTGAAGTCTCATAACTAATAGTAATAAAAATTATATTCTGATTTCCATAGGCCTAGCTCTACTGTCGTATCTTTCAAAAGGATTCAGACCTTGAGTCCCATGAATTTTACTTTCTTTTCTGGGGCTTCTCGGCTCAAGCAATGCTCAGGGGACCCTGAGATTCTCAGCCCAGCCATGCGGGCTAGACAGATCCTTGCTTGGCCCTGTATATGATGCTGTTCTGATCTAGCCCCTGCACTGCAGGAGGCCACTAGAGTTACACTTGGCTGTGCTCAGGGGACCATGCAGTGCTGGGGACTGAATTCAGGGCCTAGGAAATTCAAGACATGTACTCCACTCCTGGCACTATCTTCCTAGCCTGGGTCTTATTTTTTTCTTTGTTCACTTTGTGGCCATACACTGTGGCTCTCCTTGCTCTGTGCTCAGAGATTACTCCTGGTAGGGCTCGGGGGACCATATGTTGGTGCCAGGGATCGAACTGGGATCACCAAATGTAAGGCAAATGCCTTAAGCTCTGTACTAGCTCTCTGGCCCCTAGGTCTTTATGTTTTTCTATTAAAATAATATAGACCTTTTAAACTTAATCACTAACTAATAATTCAGTTCTTATTATAACCCAGCAAAGCACCCCATACTATGAATGATGTGAAATGATTAATTTTATAGTTTTGGAGTCACTTTAGGAAAATAAGATATAAATATAAGATAAATAACTTTACAAGAAAATACTACATGTGAAGCCACCATTAAACTGTAATAGTGAATAAATTGACTATAATGCAGAAAGGGAAGGTGAGTTTGTTACTGTATTCATGAAAAAAAAATGCTTTCATGAAACATTTGGGTTTTGATTTGGGCCTTTTTAGAAATACAGGCTTTACATGTGTGCAAATAGAAATTTTCATAAAAATTATATGGCAAGATAAGGGATTTAGAGGCAGAATAATGATAATTTTTATTTATTGAGAACTATCCATGGATACCTTATTTACATAACTAATTTAAAATTCATTAGATGAATGAATCATTATAATAATATAATCATTTTAGTGACTTTCAGGCTCAAGGGTGTTTTTGTTTATTTCTTTTTATTTTGTTTATTTTTTGTTAGGGACTACACTCAGTAGTGCTCAGGGATCTTATGGCTCAAGACTTGCTCAGGGGATTATATGCTGCGCCAGGGATTGAACTTCAAATGGCCACATGCAAAGCAAGTGCCTCTACCACTACAAACACTGTACTAGCTTACAGATTTAAGTGATGTGCTTAGAGCCATGTTGCTGTTAGTTATGAGGTGAGATTTCATCTAGCCTGAAACTAGAGCCTGTCCTCTGTAACCTACACCCCTATTTTGCCTTTTGGAGAGCAAGTCTTCTTCAAGATCACTAAATAGTTAACACTTGGACCAAGTAAGCAAGGGTGCTAAGATCATTTGGGGATACACGTGGAAGATGTGTGAATTTGCAGCCATACCTGTTAGGGATATGTTCAATTTTCTTACTAGTCATAGGAGAGAACAGTGTTGTAGAAGACTGGGTTGAAACTTAGGTAGGTTCTCAGAGAACAGTCAAGTTAGCAAACTCAGCCAGCAAAAGATATTCTCTCACATACTATGTCTATAGACTGCAGTCTCAGGGAATGATGAAACCCGCTGCCAAAATTCCACAGTGATGGCTGGTTTTTATATCATTATTCTTTGCATAATGATAATGGCTGACATCTGTTGAGTGATGTTCTGTGCCACGAGTGTTAAGTATTAATTCATTTAATGTTTAATTTTTATATATTCATTAAATATTTACAATATCCCCATGAGATAATGTTATAACTCATCATCTTAAACAGGAAGAAACTGAGTTAACTTCCTTGAGAATATACCCTTATCAGAAAAGGAGATGAAATTATAAGCCAAACATTCTCATTCAGAAATTCTGTATTCTTCCCTACCATGCTGCTGTCTCATATGCTTCACTGATTCTAATTTTCAGAGTTAGTACATTTAATAACTTGGCTTAAGATCTAAAATATCTAATTATCACTTGAATGAGCGTTCCCCAATTTTGAATTCACAGAGTTACTAGTTCTGTAGAATGCCTGCAGTATCATAGGAAGGAAGGGGTTTTGAAAATATATGATTTAAAAAAACCCAATAGATTAAATATAATTCAGATACTTAGGACTTCTCAGAGTCCTTACCCTGCTGAGACAGGCACATTGAATTTTCACACTTTAGGAAATACGTATGTACAGATGAGACACGAAAATATAGTCAAGCCATTTCAAATTTCTCTCAGTACTATTTTCTATAACTTTTATTCTTAAGTGCTCTGTATGACAATGACATTAGAGGACTTCTGTGGTAATATGGTATTAAAAAAATTCAGAAAAAGATTTAATGACTATATTCTTGATATATTCATAATGATATTCCAGGCCTTTTATGATATTTTGCCAGTGTAGAAGCTTGGTGTGTATAAGTTCGGAAATACTATGTAACATATTCAGAGCAGCATTCGTCTCCCAGTTCTTACCAGAAAAAAGAAAGTCATATTAATTTTAGTTGACTTGAAAAAGGAATTGTGTACTTCTTTCTTATTCTTGGTAATAATTTCACATCCTTTTCAGTTGCTCAGTATATCCCAATAGTGTATTTTAACTATCCATTGTAATTATAGTCTGTTTTTAGATTCATTTCCCTTCTTAAGTCAGAAATAGTTCAGAAATCACTATATTTATAACTCTCCTGCAAAAATTCTGACTGCCCCCAAACCTTGCATCCTTGAATCAACATATTTTCCAAACTAAAATATGAGGTAACTTGCCCTATTTGGCTTACAGACATAAACCAAGGCAAGGCAATCATTTCACAGATGGCAAATAAAGATTTCTGTGGCCTTAAACAGGCCTGATATGAGGAGTAAATGGGTAATTTTTTTAATGGGTATTTTTTTTGTCCGACAAATTTTGCATGTATGTCACATACATATGTACGTATGAGACATAAAAATATAGTCAGGCCATTTCAAATTACTCTCAATACCATTCTCTATATTTTTCATTCAAAAGGCAAATTGATAAAATAACCAATGAAAATCAGAAAGAAACCCAGTGTCACTTACCATATCGTGGTCTGAGACAGGTCCAAAACTGGTGACGAAGATGTCAGTCTTGACTTCAGTTACGCGCTCTGATGAAGCAGGAAATTGGGACAGTGAATGTCTCTCAGCAACCCTTATTAGATCTCACCACCACAGACTCACCCAAATGGGAAATTTATTGGCTTTGATTAGCTATTTCTAAAATTGGTCCACTGTGTAGTCCTGATAATTGACTGCTTACACACGATATTTCACAGTTAATATTTTTCAGTGGAAAAGTGAGGCCCGACATGCCACCTTGGGAAGCAGAGACTTTAAGGAGAAGTCAGCTGCTGCCTAATGAGTTTTTCAAGAATGGATACGCTTTCCTAAATTATACTAAGATCTTTCACATTGTTATAAAAATATGTTAACATATGGGTATGATTTAAGCTTAAATATTCTTGCACAACTTGTTGGGTCCTACTGGTATTTAGGCTACTCTGGGGAAGTTTCAAGAGTACAGTAGCCGACTTCATTAACTCTTTAAGGACTCTTGGGTATGTTTGATAAATGATTGCATTCTTGTACTGAATCATAAGTGAATTATTTGCACTACTCCTTGGGAAAAATCTGACAACTTGTATAAATATCTTCAATTTTGAGGATGAGGAGAACACATTATGGTACAGAAAAAAACTCACTTAATAGGTTCCATTTCAAGTTCAGCACGATTTTATTTTATAGGTCTCTGAGGCATATATATCAACCAATAAAACATATTTGTTGTAGTGTGGCGACAACCCAGTATGGACATTTTTATAGAAATAATGCCTCACACAAAACTAGAAAATACTTTTGCAGAAAACTAGAAAAATTATCTTGCAGAAGAAGAAATAATTTGTTAAACAACTAAGAACGGAAAGAGAACTTTATAAATTTAACTTTCCCTCTAAGTAATATTTCAGAATTAAAAGCAATTGAACTCACTTCCCAGGACTTCTGTAATTCTGAATTAGGACATTTAAAAGAAAACCCAACAGAATTTCTTTCGCCATCGTAATATAAGCATTTTATAATTGTAAAACGTTAATCAATTCAGTATAAATTTTTTTCCTCAGGAGTCCATGTTATACGTGACACAAAATGAATACCTCCGATGATAAAATAATCTGAAAGCAAGGGTATGCCTTTCAGTACTTAATATAACTATTTGTTGGATTTTTCTTTCTTTTGGGGGGATCAACCCTATTGACTTCAAATGTTTAACTGAGTCCCCTGACATCGAAATCATCTGGGGTTCCCTTAAAAAATGTAAAACAAAGGACATAATTTGAAATACATAAGATTGAGAGTTGTACTTTAGGACTCCGTTCCAGCACGGTCTAACATTCTGCAGACTCTGTCAGCAGCCTCATCTGCTTTCATCAGTCATCTCTGCCACTGCCCCCGTTCTTATCCCTTCCATCAGTCATTTGCCTAAAATATACACTGATCACACTCTTTCCATAAATATTTTTACTAAACTTATTTTTTCATATTTTAAACAACTTATTTCATTCTTCTATTTTTTTTCAGTTGAGGGAGATGGTTGGGAATTGGACCATACCAAGTGATGCTCATGGCTTACTGCTGGCTCTGTGCTCTGGGGGTTCACTCCAGGCAGTGCTCAAGCCAGATGTGCTGCTGGGTGTCTAAAACAAGGTTGACTGCATGAAAGGCAAGTTCCTTAAGCACCGTATTGTCTCTCGGGCCAAAAAATAGCTGTTATTTCTTAAGATTTTCTTTGATTTATTAAATATGCACTCATTGTCATAAAAATACAGCAAATTTGATACATTTTACTCATCTGTAACTGAAGGAAAGCAAAACAAAGGAACAGGTAATAGCTGCTGATAGAAAACTCTGGGTACTGGAGAACAAACTGAGAACATCAGATTGGGGGGAGTAGCTAGACCGGATGTGGCTGTGAGGGAGGGAATTTTAGGGACTTCGGTAGTGGTGAGTGTATACTAAGACCGTATATGTCAATACCACTGCAAACACACTATATTATCTATAATATTTCTCAAGTACAAAAAACAAGATAGCAATTAGGCATATTTCCATCCTAAATTCCTTGGTACTTGGTGATATTCTTTACTTGAAACTATTTTATTACCTTTTGATATATGTCTTACAATTAAAGCATCTTAAATATGGTGATCAAAGAGTGTTCTAAAATTTCTCTGTGAATAAATCTTAAATACACAGGCCATTCTGTTATTTCTTTTTTTCCAATTAAGGTAAAGGTAAAGGTAAAGGCCCTCCCGTTGATCATCGATTTGCTCGAGCGGGCCCAGTAATGTCTCCATTGGAGGCTTTGTTGTTACTGTGTCTGGCATATCGAATACGTCACGGGGAGCTTGCCAGGCTCTGCCATGCGGGCGAGATACTCTCGGTAGCTTGCCGGGCTCTCCAAGAGGGGTGGAGGAATCGAACTCGGGTCGGCCATGTTGGCTGCGTGCAAGGCAAACGCCCTACCGCTGTGCTATCTCATGCTGTTTCTAAGAGTAAGTTTTGGGTTTCTCCAAATTTTACATGAGATAATATATGGTGATGATTTTATGGAATTAAGTGCCATCTCTGGAATGAATTGGTGTTTTGGTCATCTTTTTTTTTTATTTTCATAGCAGAGAGATCTCATTAAATATAAGATAGTTGTAAACTGTGTGCCAACCCCTGTCTGCATACTTGCAAATTCTGGGAAGTATGCTAGAAATTAAGAATGCTTTTCAGTGTTATGTATTCCTTGGGTGTGGGGAAAATATAATTTCTGTACTGTAAGGTAACTTTTGAATGATTCAAAATTTGTAAAAATTGGCCTTACACATGTTTTTTGAGAAGCATCTATTGTCTAATAATTATCTAGCATGACAAAGTATTCTGAAAAACTGAGATACCTGCTTTCAAAATAAAAGAGCTATTTTAGTTTCTATTTTTAGATTATTGGTAGATGACTGTGTTATATAGGCAACAAATTAAAAGGTTAGAATGCCTATTTATAGCTTACTACATCAATCAATTAGAATATGCAACATGGTTACATTTATATATGTTTATTGCTACATACTAGATTAACTGGGCTGGAGCGATAGCACAGTGGGTAGGGCATTTGCTTTGCACACAGCCAATACGGCCAACCGGAGTTCGATTCCTCTGTCCCTCTCAGAGAGCCCGGCAAGCTACCGAGGTATTTCGCCCGCATGGCAAAGCCTGGCAAGCTACCCATGATGTACTCAATATGCCAAACACAGTAACAACAAGTCTCACGATGGAGACGTTACTGGGCCCGCTCGAGCAAATACATGAACAATGGGAGGATGCTGACCATGACTAGATTAACTGTGTCATAGAGATGAGGCATATATGGAAAGTAGTTCACATCAATGGTGATAAACACATTTTCAAAGTCAAATTCTTAGGGCCAGAGAGATAGTACAGTGGTTAAGGTGCCCAACCCTGGTTCAATCTCTGATATCCCATATACTCCCCTGGGTACCACCAGGATAAATTCCTGAGAGCAGAGCCAGGAGTAATCCTTGAACAGTGCTGGGTATGTCCCCAAACTCTCCACCCTTTCCTCTCCAAAAACAAAACAAAACAAAAAAGATCAGGTTCTCTACTCTTTCATCAATTCTTTATTTGAAGTATATTTACTATTCCAGCTCATCTTCTTCAAATGCTTTATCTTATTTCCTACTAGCCCGTCCCTTGTACAGTTCCTCAAACTTGCCACTATGTACTAGTTGAAGCAGGCAACTTGACTGAAAGCCCCACCTCATGAGTTCCCTCCAGCATCTCCTCACCATGACTCACTCACACGTGTCTTAGAAGTTTTAAATTTTTACTCTATCTATTTTTCTTCCAAATATACTCACAGACCCTCAGTGTTTGGTGGAGGTAAGGACTGCAGAGACTACTAATAAATGCAAGAGATAAGGTTGCTGTCAGAAGGGGAAGGAGCAGCAGAGTAGAATGAAATCCTGAACTTCACCCCCCCTCATAACTTCGGGGCTAAACTAATCCAAAGAGGACTATCAGTTTTTTTACTAACCTTTCTGATATACTCAAGCATTTTTTTTCCCGATTGTAATCAGTTGTAATTAGTGATCAGTGGGACACAAAGTTGCCTCTGTTGCCAAGCCCCACCGATTATGTATTCGTCTTCAACATTTCTCATGGACATTTGCATGATACTCATGTCTTAAATGAGTGTACCCCAGGTTTCCTAAACGTTTTTTGCAAATGCCATTTTAAACACCCCCACCCACACACACACACACACAAAATAATAAGCCATAACAAACAACATCAACATCAATAACAAAACTCCCAAAAGCCTTAAAACCTCATAGTAAAGATGAGACTTGAAGTTAACAGGGTATGTAAGAGGCTGTATGGAAGGAGAACTGAAGAGGACGGATTTCCTTGTAAATAGGTACGAGGGCTCTGAGGCATATCATGATTGTCACTAAGCCTGCTGTATGAGGTAGGGCAAAGCTAAGAGGGTCATTTCTATGAGTTATCATATGGAAGATTTTTTTTCTTTCTCTCTCTCTTTTTTTTACTGATCTATGCAAGAATGGAAATGTTAGTTAATCATATCATGGTATTACTTCATAATATATATGAACCAAGCCATCGCACGGCATGCCTTAAACTTTAAAAATAATTTTCAAAGCTAGAGTAATAGTACAGCAGCAAGAGCATTTGCCTTTCAGACAGCAGACCCAGGTTAGAGACCCGGACCCCCATATGGATCCAGCAGAGATTACTGAGTGCAGAGCCAGGACTCAACCCTGAGAACTGCAGGATATGGTCCCCAAATCAAAACAAACAATAATTTTTATGTAATAATTTTAACATAGCTATTTATTGCATTTTAAATAAAAATAAAACATCACAAAAGTATTAGGGGAAAGTTGAGGCCGATGTAATTTATTACATTGTTATTAAAATTTTATATAAAAGATTGATATTACTTTGGAAATTTCATGAAAACATTAAAAAGTAAAAACAATATGGAATCCTAAAATCCACATAAATCCACTGTTAATATCTTAATATA